TTCGACTCCTGCAGGGCAACGGTTTTTGGTTGGCAATTGCCTAATGGGAACCAGTCTGAAGCTGGATGGGGTCACTGAGGCAGGGCTGCACTCCAGCTGAAGGCCTTTCCGCATTCCATGCATTTGCAAGGCTTCTCTCCAGTGTGGATTCTTTGATGCAGTATAACATATCCCCTCTGACTGACGCTCTTTCCACATTCCATGCATGTGAATGGCTTCTCCCGTGTGTGGGTCCTGTGATATTGACTAAGCTCTCCACTCCCACTGAAGGCCTTTCCACATTCCATGCATGTGTATGGTTTCCTCCCTGTGTGGGTTCTTTGATGTCCATTAAGGGCTGTACTCTGACTGAAGGCCTTTCCACAGTCCATGCATGTGAATGGCTTCTCTACAGTGTGGGTTTTTAAAATAAATTTTATTAAAATTTTTAAACTAACACTAAAACATCAATCATCTAATACATCAGACATACTCGGTCAGCCCCCTACTCATTTTTTTAAAACATTCCTTAGTCATATTCAAATCCATTTATGGTAACTTAAAAAACATATTTAAATCTAAGCCATGTCCAAAAAGATGTTGAAGTCTATGTGAAGTCCTGTTTCTCTAGCCAATAATAAAAGAAAATAATCCCAAGTTTGATAGAAGTCAGTATCTTCTTTCTCCTTCAAGGATAAATTCAGTCTGACCATTTCAGCACAATCCAGGATCTTTTAATCAATTCATCGATGGGTAATTCCTCATTGTTCCAGTATTAAGCAAATACACTCCTCACTGCAATGATTACATGTAAAATTGGATACATTTCTTATTTACTAATGTCCCAGTATAATGCCTAATAAGAAAAGAAATTTCAGGTTTAAGAAACTAAGGACTTTTGTACCACTTCCTCTACCATATACAATAGAAAATACCCAATTTATGTTTACATATCCAGCATCCATTTGACATCTTTAAAAACATCTTGGCTAATCTATTTGGCAACAGCTACCACCTATAACACATCTTATACAAGCATTCTTTATATGAAGTTGCTAATATTTCATCTAATTTAAGCATCACTTAGTCAAATACTATTAACTCCCTATAAAAACCCCACTCTTTACAATCTTTAACATATCTCGATTGTATCTGCACCTTATGTCACCAAAAGATATCAATTCCCTGTTCTTGTATTTCTTAGCTCAATTTCAATCCTCCATCTTTATCCAAAATGTACATCATATCTTATAATCCCTTCGACATTCAATGCATTTGGATACAGAGAAGCTTCCAAGGGTGAAAAAAACATCTTAGTATACCTTTTCCTACACCAACATGAATGGTTTTCAGGTATGGTAACTTTAAAAAAAAAATCATGTAACTTAGCCTTCTCATACCAAACGTGTCAACCCATTTAAATCATTCCTTTTAAGATAGAAAATTCTCTCA